TCCATTCCTTTGATCTCTGCCTATCCCGTGGCTCATTTTTGCCTGAGGAGCTGAAGCCATTCATAGGGTAACACGTCCCAGGCGGCTGGTCAGCCTTTATAAGGGATGGTTTTCTTGGTTTTAGTGTCTCCGCTCAGTCTCCACTCTGGTAAAATGCATTAAAGCTTGTCTGCAGAAGGATCCGAGTGTCCCATGTATGATTTCTTGCTGGCGAGAAATACAGAGCACGCGAGGGACAAGTCACCATTTACCTGCTGACACCTCAAGATAATTTAGTGACTGTTATGTGAAATCTCAGTGACCTACACTGTCCTCGAGTATTTGTGTTGAAATCACACTGGCATGTAGGTTTATGGCATAAGAGGACCTGGCCATAGCCCATCCTAGGACATTTTGTGTATTCTGTTTCCCTAGCTGGCACTGATCTCCTTCAGCACAGTGATCATGAAAGGCTCCAAGGACAATAGACCCATGTTCAGGTCTGAATGTGCCCTTAGCACCTGGCATTTCTTCTCTGTCACTGCTGCTTTTCATCCATGTATTCCTGCCCTGCCTCCCTGAACAGAGTGGAGCAGAGAGGCAAGGAGAGGTCTCTCCCTGAAAGCTGGTTCTTCTTTTACAGTAATCACATCATCATTAAATAATTTCAAAGGGCATGTGCATGTGCTTTGGAGAAAAGGAAAGCTGTGCACCAAATCCTCTCTGACCTGGCAAGGCCAGGGTAGTTACTAGAGTCACCAGCTTCTGGTACTGGAAATGTTTAAGATAACTGGCAGGAATTCTTCCTGTAATGTTTGGTAGAATTCAGCCATGAAGCCTCTGGTCCTGGGCTGTTCTCTGCTAGGAGGCTTTGGTGGCCTTGTGAACCTCCATTTGTTATAGTTTGCTCATCTTGACTTAAATCTTAGTGACTTGTTTCTAGACATGTGTCCGTTCTTCAGCTTTTAGCTTGTATGTGTATAGTTGCTGACAGTAAGTGCTCACAGTAGTCTCTGATGATGGATCTAGAAACCATTGCTGGTGGGAAGAAGAGGAGGTGGGATGGATGGGTCCATGCTTGAAGGCTTCATCAAAGAGGAGGGCAAAGGGGAATCTGAGGACCTGAGGAAGCACCTAAATGAGGCTGAAGGCCCTGAGGTGCTGAGGCTTGTTTCCATTCCTAAGCCATAACAGGGAATGTTCGTGTAAGATGCTCTGTGTGGATCTATAACTAAGATCCTGCACACTTGACAAATTCTAGGACTAATATTCCCCAATTCAGTAGCATTTTACTGTGGTAACAATCACACAAGTCAACATCAATACTACAGGCGGTATTTCTCTAATGCTTTCCAGGTGGCAAGCTCTATATTAAATTTCTCTCTCTCTGTCTCTCTATGTCTCTGTGTGTGTGTGTCTGTCTGTCTGTCTGTCTGTCTGTCTGTCTGTCTCTCTCTCTCTCCTTTGGTAGAAAGTGAGATACACAGTCTATATGGTGGCCAGAGTACAGGACCCTAACCCTCCAGGAGGCTCCAGTAAGATGTGTGAGATCATCCCTCTCAGGGGGCAGGGACCAATACTAGTGCATTCCTCCCTAATCCCATGATTCTTTCTAGATTCCAGGGAAAGGAGCAAAGCTTCACTTCTGAGAGCTGGAGTGCTGTTCAAACAATCCCACACAAGCCAACAGAGGTGTGTCTCTCCCCCCCCCCCCCATAGGGTTTTGTTTTGGAGCCTGTCCTGAAACTCGATCTGTAGACCAGGCTGGCCTCAGGCTCACAGAGATCTGCATGCCTCTGCCTCTGCCTCCTGAGTGCTGGGACCAAAGCCTAGGCAGGATGGACTAGGGTGTAAGGTCATTAAGGGAGAAGTTGTAGGAAATCAGGCAAGAGTGAACACAGTCTTGAAATTTCGAGAACTCACTTGTAGGCAACAGGCATCCCGTCCAGCCATTTCCACTCACTTTCATGCTCAGAGTCTGTGAGGCCAATCCAGTAGCTATCTCTCCCCACTGTCTGCTTTTTTATCCATTGCTGAAAAGGAAGCCAGGGAGGTTTGTTCACTATTATCCCACACAAAGAAGGTCTTGTTTGTTTGATAAAATTGACAAAAGACATTTTTCAGAGTTTTTCATGGTCCTTATGGTCCACTTTGTATTGCATTTATGTTGTGGGCACTGTTTCAGGGGCTTTGACTTTTGGGGCCAAGTTTAAAGAGTGACAGCAATGTTCTGCTTGAAGGATGACTGCTGTGTCTCCTGTTTCCCAGGAACTACCCATCTGTGAACCTCCACTAGAACTGATGTCCTGAAGACAAGCTGCTGAGCAGTTGTTTGGGCCCAGGCCCCTGACTGCTTTTCATGTTTCCTCAGTTACTAGAAAATCAGATTTCAGGGTTGTGTCTGATGAAGATGGTTAGTGAGTGACACCAAATGAACACTGTTATCAGTCAGACCTTAGGTCTGCTTTTCCCTTTTTCCCTGTGAGAAGAAATCATTTAAACTTGGTGGGGCCTTAGTGTATCTTATCTGTCAAATGGGGCATCCAAAAGTAGTGACATGTGCCTATATTCCCAGTCCCCGAGAAGTGGATACAGGGAGATAGCCATAGCAAATTTGTTTAAAAAAAAAAAAAATCAAGGGGGAGGATGGCAATTATAAGGTTTATATTGCAGGGTTGCTTATGAGGTTTTAAAAAAGGACCTTGCACACACAGGGCTTAATAAGGGGCCACTCTTCACTGTCACTCATGGGCCTTTACAGACCCCTTTTGAACTAACCAATCTGGTTTGTGGCACCCCACTTCAAACCCACTGTAGTCATGCCTCTGCTCTTTCTACATGCATCCAGTGGCAACCCCCTCACCTCTCTGCTGTGCTGCAATTCTCCAGAAAGCCACCAGGAGGAGCTATGTACCTGTAGGCTAACATATCATTACAATTCATATGCTCTACTCCCTGGATAAAGCTCATGGCTGCAAACTGCAGCCTTCCTTGTTTATGAGACCATGAATTTTTCATCGCTTGACTCCCCAGAAAGCATGCAATTTCCAGGTATAACTGATCTCTAAATTATAGTTTTATCCAACCAAGTGTGCAGCTGACATACCATACCTGTTCCTCTCTTGAGTTTATGAAAACGAGATGTGATGTCTTATCTTCACAGAAAAGCTTAGCATCCTCAAAAATATCTTTCTCCACCGAAAAATAGTAGCATTTGTCTGTGAAGTTCTTCCAGTGAGGTGGACAGCCTAGGAATGCAACACTATTAAATGTTGATTTAAAAAACACAGAAAGCACTCTGTGTTTTCTTTTCTCAGCTGTGTTTAAGATATCAAAGGGACAGTGCCATGCCACCTGCATGCCAGTGGAAGTCTGGTGTCCCTGGGCAGACCCTGGGCAGATGTTCACAGATATGGACTGTAGAGTACACAGTAGTTAAAACCACAAAACCTAGAAAGGTATGACTGGGTCTTTGTTTTTCTGCACCTGGACCAGATTTTACAATGACAGAATGAAGAAAGTATTGTCAGTATTGGATCAGCTGAAGCCTGTAAACTAGTGCACATAAGAGTTCAGAACCAAAACTGAGCTCATGGACAAGCATGGGTAACCCACATGGCTTGGTTCCTAACTAGTACAGAGTTTTGCAAAAGACTTATTGTCAAAGAGCGGCAAAGGTACCACAGCACCTCCGTAGCAAAACCTGAATGTAGACATTGCCACAGAAACATCATCCGCACACTGGGGGGAGTTAAGTGATGGACAGTCTGTCTCTAGGGAAAAAGGAGAAAGATGAGGAAAGATGGTCAGAGAACAGCCAATGCAGGATGTCTGGAAGAAAGTATTTGGGGTGCATGTGTCTTCTGAGGGCCTGGCTCACCTACATGCATAGAGATCTCTAATTTTGGGGTAGAAACACTGACAGTTGTGAGGTGTTAAGAGTACACACAGGGCCCCTGAAGCTAAGTGTAACTAGGGGACTCATGGAGGCTGTTTTAGCCAAGCATACACATTGCCTGTTTCGCTCCAACTCTGGCTGAAAAGCAATTTGGACTTACCATTGGTCTCTGATGCTGGGGTTGGCTCATTCTGCAGAGCCAAGGGCTCCATTGCTCCTGAGGGGCCTGGGGGGCCAGGTGGCCCCTTGGGCCCAGGCATGCCTGGTACCCCTGGCAAGCCTGGTAGTCCCCGAGGTCCAGGTACTCCAGGCTCCCCCATAGTACCCTGCAGTCCCTGGAAGCCAGGAGGGCCCTGAGGGCCGGGGAGTCCATCCTTGCCTGGTGGGCCTGGTGGACCTGGGTCCCCATTAGGCCCTTGAGGGCCAGGCTTCCCTGGGGACCCACGGGATCCTTTGGGGCCCTGTGAGCCTTTGGATCCTTTGCTGCCACGCTCTCCAGGAGGGCCTACTGGTCCAATTGGGCCTCTCTCACCCACAGAGCCAGGTGGACCAGGCTCTCCCTTCTCTCCTTTCTGTCCCTTGTTGCCAGTTGGACCAGGTAGTCCCTGAGATCCTCTGTCACCTTTTGGACCCCTGGGGCCAGGAGGACCTAAAACATAAAAAATATACATAGAGTCTGTTGTGAGGGTATATCTGCTTATATAGCTTACAATTAAAGTCTAACACAAGTCAATAAAAACATTATATATACACACACACACACAAAGTCTGTTGTGAGGATGTATGTGCTTATATTAAAACATCTAACACAGAAACATAAGCATTAAGGAGTGCTTACTATTTACAATGTATTGTTAACTTCAAGGATTAAGACAGTGAAAAGCAGTTCACCCAGCATCTTCCTCTGACCTACATGTGTGTGCATGGCTGCATACTGCTCCCCATGTGACTACACCACACACACATGTACCACCCATATGCCTACAAAAACAAAAAGATTAAGACACAGAGGTAGAACCAGGTGAAGACACAAGGAGGAGACAGCCATCTGCAATCTAAGGAGAGGTCTTGGAAGAAATAAACTTCACCAAGACCTTGACTTCTAAACTCCAGAGCTATGAAGAAAGAAATCTGTTGTTCCAGCCAGTTTAAGTTTATTAAAAGCAATACAATGCTGTGCTGGTTTCTTTTTCTTTTTCTTTTTTCTTTTCTTTTCTTTTTTTTTTTTTTTTTGTTTTTCTTGGAGCCTATCCTGGCACTTGCTCTGGAGACCAGGCTGGCCTTGAACTCACAGAGATCCACCTGCCTCTGCCTCCCGAGTGCTGGGATTAAAGGCGTGCACCACCAACGCCCGGCTTCTTTTTCTTTTTTTTTTTTTTCACCAACAGAAAAGTCATGCATTTCTCCATTTGTTTCTATGCATTTAGTTTGCGGAGCCCACCTAGACCTCACCTTGTCTGGCAGCTTAATTAGGACTGTTTACCAAATGCATGGGCCTTTCTGCCCAGCAGCCTAATATCTACATTCTGTGTCAGGGAACATCAGAAGGAAGAGACTTGTGGGTAACGGTGACTTGTCTGTGTTATCTTATTCCAAGAAGTAATGCTTCCCAACCTATGTGTTAGGTGGACCCTGGATCTATCCATGGAATGGCTGTAGAGACTGCCTTTCCTGACTCTAATGATAGAACAGTATTTATCCCTAGTGTACAAATGGACTTTGGGAGCCCATTCCACATACAGGGATACTCTCTCAGCCTAGATACATAGGGGAGGCCAAGGCCCTGCCCCAAATGATATGACAGACTTTTATGACCCCCCATGAATGGCCTCAACCTCCCTGGGGAGCAGAAGGGGGATGGCATGGGGGGCTGGGAGGGGGTATGGGGGGAGGGAGAGGGAACTGGGATTGATATGTAAATAAGACTGTTTCTAATTTAAATTTTAAAAAATCTAGGAAAAAAAAGAATGGGTCCACTGATCTCTTCTGCAATCTGAGATTTCTTCTGTTTAATCTGAGGGAACACATTATCCAACCTATGTCACTGAGGGACAACTGGGCAGGCCTTTTACTGCTATCCTTAAAGTAAGTTTGTGCCATTCTGTGGAAAATGGTGTCACATAGGCTCATACTGGGGAAGGCGCCAGAGAGTTCCCTTAATGGGTATATTATTATGCAAAGTTCTAATGTAACAGGCACATAATAATACATAACTTCTCAACTGTGTGTTTCATTCAGAGTACATGTTAAACCTCAGGGAAGCCACCAAATGAAGATCTGTTGGAAAATCCAAGCACTTTAGTTACACTTGATCGTTTCTTTCTAAACCTTCAGCCAATGACTAGTTTGTCAACTCCTCACAAACGAGACTGATGCTCTACTGTAAGCTTCAGGGAATGAGTTTATCTGCAAGGATGAACAGTGGCTCTTCGGGGCTTGTCTGTCAGTTCAGTGAGACTTCTTGCAGACCTCCCCAGGTCCAAAGGCACACAGATCTCCCTCTCATCTAAATACAAGATTTCCCTCATGTGGGATGGCAGTAGTTTATAAGGTCTGGAAATGGGTGCATGTCCTTATCCAGTGCACACATAGACACTGTGGCTCCCCCCCACCCAGAGGGCATCAAACATGGGTTCCAGGGTCAGCACAAAACACCAGCAGATGCTGATTTCTAAATCACACAATGTAAAAGAATGGATATGGTTGTGGTGCAAGCTTTTGCCTTTAATAAAAATCTAACTTTCAATGGATTCCCAGCTAGGTTAGTAAAAAACCAGGTCTTTTCTTGGAAAGCACTGCATTTATCCACTTTTCAGTTTTTCAGTAAGATTAAGCTTAATATCCATGATTATGCATAAATTGGCAGGCAATAGTATTAGTGCCCTCACTCACAGCTGTCTTCAGCTGTGAAAACTGCCTAGAAGCAGTTACTCCCCAAGATGCTGCGTTATAAGAACGTATGTGCACTATGGATAAGAGGGTTCATATGATACACTTCACTCACTAGACAAATTAGATGTTTACCTTGCTTGTTATTTTTAAAAATTGATAATAATAATAAAAAAGACCCAACACTATTTTAAAAGCCCAGAATTGACCCAGGAGACGTTTTTCTCTGAGACTGTTAGACTCTGGGTAATCTCAGGGCTTCTGGTCTTACTTGAGGTCTTTTATTGGGTGGCTGTTGAAGTAAAAATAAAATGAAACAAGGGGATGGGGAGATGGTTAAAATGGCTAGCTATGCAAGCCTTACAACCCGAATTTGACCCCTGGAACCCATATAAAAAGGCAGCTGCAGTGGCTTGCATCTTTAAGTCACAGCTTCATGCAGCAAATAAGGTCAGTGGCAGAGAGGCAGGCCCATCACCCAGAGGCTCACAATCACACTAGTCAGACATGACACAGCTGTAGAAAAGAAGAGAACCAGGGGCTGGAGAGATGGCTCAGTGGTTAAGAGCACTGCCTGCTCTTCCAAAGGTCCTGAGTTCAATTCCCAGCAACCACATGGTGGCTCAAACCATCTGTAGTGAAATCTGGTGCCCTCTTCTGGCCTGCAGAACACTGTGTACATAATAAATAAATACATCTTAAAAAAAAAAAAAAGAAAAGAAAAGAAGAGAACCTTCCTCAACAGGATGGAGAGCAAGAACTGACTCCTGACCTCCCATGTGAGCTGTACCACACTTGTATGTTTATGCAGGTGTACATATACAACATAAGTAAATAAAATTAAATGTTACCTATTCCTTCCCCCTATGTAAAATAGGAAAGTATTTATGAGTATGTATTTAACAACTTGAATTTAGAGTCAAGAGAATCATACTGTGTGGAGACATGTGGATGCCCATGCAGAAGTGCAATTTGCTTTCAGACAGACAAGAATGTAATCAAATATCAAGTCTGAGTGGGTAGTTCTCTGACTTGAGGTGTTGAATTGCCAGGGTACCCATGTGCCTAGTAAAGCTGTCACAAGCTCCCCAAATGCACCCAGACAACTAACAACTCTGCATTTGCTGTCACATTGTGGCCCCCAGATGTCAGAGACTTAGGGGCCTTAAGCTACTGAATCCTCAGATGTTAGACTTTCATCACTGTCTCTCTTCTGCTTTGACATGTGAACTGCAGACTTTGAGACACACACACACCCAAGACGGTTTTAAACCATAATTTCCAACCAAATTTCTGTGTTACATAAAGTAGAGACATGGCCTAAGTTTTGTCTGTCATCCAAATTCTTGGAGACAGGATGTTAAGAACCTTGACTGACAGTACTTCGGGAGCTGAAGCAGGGGGGCTGCCATGAATGTGAGGACTGCCTAGGCTACACCTTTACCCTCGTTCATCCTGGGATACAGTATAAGATTCTGTAATAACAACAAAGAACTCTAGTGTAAGACTGGAAGACAGACTAGGTAGAAATAAAAGATACAAAACAATACAGCTTTCTTCTTGTTAAAAAAACCTACTTTGATTGCAATGAACTAAACTTATTAATCACCTATGTGTTAACTTTCTGTTACTATAGCTAAATGCCTGAGATAATCAACTTAAAAAGAGGAGACATTTATGTTAGCTTATAGTTTTGGAGGGTTTGGTCCATGACTGACTGGGTATCTTGCTTTTGGGCCTGTGACAAGGCAGCACATCAAGTCCAGGAGGACCTGGTGGAGCTAACTATTTACCTTATGGCTAAGACTCAAAGATAACTGGCATCTCACAACACAACCCCATCAAGGTGAAGGGTAAGTCCCCAGTGAACCAAACATTTCCTGCAAGGCCCTACCTCTTTATTGTTCTACCATTTCCCAATAACAAACTGAGGACTAAACCTTCAAAACACAGACCATTGAGGAAAATTCTAGATCTCAACTACAGTACCTGTAATAAGTAACTGTTAGCTTAGATTAAGCAAGGTGAAAAGAAATGTGCAAATTAAAAACAAAACTAAACAATAGATAGTTTGGCACATGCCTTTAATCCCAGTGCTTGCATTTAGGAGGCAAAGGCAGGCAGGTCTCTTTTGAGTTCAAGGCCAGCTTGGTCTATATAATGAGTTCTAGTACATCCAGGGCTATGCAGCAAGGTCCTGTGACAAAACAAAACAAAACAAAACAAAACAAAACAAAACAAAACAAAAGACTACAATGACAATCCCAAAAATAAAATGATAAGAAAGCAATAGATAGTATTTGACAATCATTATGAATATTTTCATTCTTGATCCTGAACTTGAGAGTTGACTTCTAGTTCATGTTAACTCCTTGTTCATAGAGATGGGTATATTTAACTCACTGTTTCTCACCTAGTGACCACATCTGCTTTATGGACTTCTGGCTGCCCACAAGGATGCCCAAAGACATGTTCTGGCTTGGGGCAGTGTAGCATGAGGGAGAGAAAAGGTAGGCCATGAGAGAACCTAAGGCCTCATATTCTATCTGCCCTATACTTGGCATTGTTCCTTGATCTTCCAGGCTTGCCTATACATCCTGCAGAGGATAGTTCAATGGTCAACCTCCTACCCAAGAATCAACTCCTGAATGTAAAATTCTTCATCTTTTCAACATTGCCAAACATGCTGTTCTCTGAAATCAGCATAGGTACCAAGGTATCACAGGGGAAGCCTGGGCCTGGGAACCAGCACTGCTGTCACTTGCCAGTTGTTTGAACTTGGAACAGTTACTTGGGCTTTCTATGCTTTAGATCCCTCCCCTGCAAAAGGAGAGTGCTCATGTTTCCCACCTTAAGGAGATATAATGATGAACATGGACCAGGATACTCTGGATGACAGTAAAGTTCATTTTCTATGGCAGTCATGTTTTCCAACTCCTATGAACTCACAGTTACTGTAATGACCAGCTATCCTTTTACTAAAAGTAGGAGTCCCTTAGTTGTAGCCTGAAGACTTAGATGAATTAATCTTGCTTTCACAGGAGCTCAACATACACAAGCACCGAAAACAGCTCAGATATTGAGAAAATCAAAAGCAATGGATCTTTAGTCCAAAAAAACTATGTAATCACACATCTGTACACCACTCTTCCAGATGTGGGGCTTGGTTCTCCTCCTCACGCTGACTTATATGGAACATGGTGGTATGAGGTGACATGTAACCCAGGCTAGCTTCAACCTCTTAATGTGGATAAGAATGACAGACCTTCATTCCTGAACGTTTGCCTCTTTAGTATTGGGATGGCATGCAACTGGCTATTTTTTTTTTTTTATCATGTAGCCCAGGCTGGCCCTGAATTTAGAATCCTCCTGCCTGAGTCTCTCAAGTACTGGGTGTTGTAATCTAGAAAAACACCATGAAGAAGATAATTCACACTATACATCAGGACTCACATAGGAGGTTTATTGGAAGAGGAGAGAGGGAGGCAGAGACCATTCCCTGGGGACAAGAGTGGTGGGGGAGAACGAGGGGGAGGGGAAAGGAAGGGAGAGGGGGAGGGAGAGGCAGAGGGGGAGGGAGGGAGGGAGGAGGTGTGCAGGGCCCTTTTGAAAGGGAATGTAGTAAACGTGCACAGGTGGTGCTCTTAGTGGCTGCAGCTGAGGGCATATCCTATCAGAACCCCAAGGGCAGGCCAGTACAGATGCCTGAAGCTAACACTGGGATTACAAACGATCACTGCTGCTAAGAGTGTGTTGTGTGACTCTGAGGTGAAGTTACAAAGTGGTTTCCATTTCTCTCTCTCCATTGGATCACTAACTTTGGAGACAGCCAGCTTCTCTATTGTGACAACACTAAGAAAATTCACTTGGTGATGAACTGAGGTTCAAGTCATGTTGGAAACAGACGTCTACCAAGCCTTCAGATGACTGTAGTCCCAGCTAAAACCTTAACTGCAACCATATGCATACATGCATGCATGCACGAATGCACAAACATGTGGACCAAGGTATGAAACTGCTTCTGAATTCCCAATACTTAAAATCTACTATCTAATACATATTTGTTTTAAATTGCCGTATTTTAGAGTAATTTATTTTATAGTAGATAACCCACACGAACCCAAATACAGAATTTACACTGACCTTGCAGAATGGTAAAATTCTTGATGAGCTGACCATGCTTTGAGTCAACCAGTTTCATCTCCTCCATAATGACTGATAAGTTGGCCACTTCAGTGTCTAACCTTGACCTCATCATGTCTTGCTGCATCCTGAGAGAAACCGAATCCAAACGGATATTGACCAGTGTGTTATTCAAGGAGGTCAGGTCGTCAGTGTGTCTGGTCAGGGTATCTGTGCAAGTGGTCCTGACTTCATTCAGGTTGCTGGTCAGCGTCCGCAGGTGATGAGCTGTGTAGCTGATATTGCTAATGATGTTCACAATATCTGTCTCAAAGACCTGGAAGCGTTCCTCTAGTTGGCTGAACTTGATGGCTGTCCTGTTCTCTGCATCCTTGTGTAAGTCCTGAAGGTCTTTCAGGCTCTGCTCATTGGCCTGTGAGATAGTGGTGATGTTGTCCATTTGACCTGTGAACGAGCTGAGCTGGCTATTCATATCCTCCAGGGTGTCATTGTTGGCTTTGGCCAGGGCAGAGTTGTTGGCAGCCAATGTCTGCAAGCTCTGTACTTTCTCCTTTAGCCAATCAGTGTCCTTCTTGGCTTGAAAGAAAACTTGCTGCAGATTTTGGAAGTCATTCTTAATTTGCTGGATGGCCTGACTTGTGTCATCCATAGACCGCTGCAGATTGGTGATAAGGTCCCTCTGCTGCACCTGGGTCAGGTTCAGGTTGTTGAGGTTCATGATAACCATGTTCTGTGAATACATTTGGTTCTGCAGATTGCCTTGGAGCACACTGGTATCTTGTTGCAGATTTGTGACATAGCCATTATATGCCTGGAGGGTTTTGTTGACAGTCATGATGAGGAAAGAATTATTCTGCAGAGTTTCTTTCAGTTGACTCTGCTTGTCCACCAATGAATCCCCACTTGCCTGTAACTTTTCCAGTGTATCTTTGTTCTTGCTAGTTTTTTCTGTGATCTCCTGAAGTTGTTGACGGAGATCTAGAATATCTGATCTGAAGGTAGAAAGTTCTGAGTTGGTGCTTATAGCTTTCTTCCCAGTTTGGTCCCCTGGAATAAGAGAGTTTGCTACTTAGACTGGTGGTATAGACATGTTCAGGCAAAGCCAGAGACCCAGAAAAAATCCAAAGAGATGGCTCAGTGGATGAAGACATTTACTGCCAGACTTGACTACTGGAGTGCAATCCCTGAACCTATATAGTTGAAGAGGAGAACAGACCCTGGGAAGTCATTTGTCCTCTGACTGCTCCATGCCAGCTGTAGTGTGTGTGTGTGTGTCTCCTCACCAAATAAACAAACAACAAATAAATGTCATTAAAAAAAAATTCCACACACTTAACCAGTAGTACTGTATTTTGGATGTAAAATTTGTAGTACATGCAGGCGAGGCTGCATTACTAAGCATCTGTATCTATTTAAAATAGGGCCAGCAAAATCAGCAAAGGCGCTCAGCACAGGACTTACAAACTTGGGTGGACACTTTTTTCAAAGATAAAGGGGAATTTACCAGATATTAGGATAGCAGGCAGGGTGTACTGATAAGAAAAAAAATCTTATAAATTTACCAAAATTCTTTTTTTTTCTGTAAATAAAAATGATAAACTTTACTGGTATTAAAACTGTAACAAAGTTCATCCTAAAAGATTTTGAAATACAAAATTATTTTACTCAGTGGGCATTTAATAATTTGAATGCTAGAAATTACTATCAAATTTCAAAAGCAGAATCATATTCATAAAACTTTATATATCATTTGAACCAAAATTCATTTTTTAATAAGGAAAACAAACATCAAGATACCATACAGGCTAGAATCTTTTATATTAAAAGTTAACTTTGCTGGGCATAGTTTAATTCCTACTTTCTGGAGACAAAGGTAGGAGGATCTCTGAGTTTGAGGCCTGCCTGATCTACATAAGGAATTAACTCCCAATAATGTGTCTATTCGGTTTAAAAGAATTCAACTTAGTATTTAATGGGCAGTTGACCAAGGAACCTTTGGTAGAGGCTACTTAATGGCTCTTTTCAGTCAAGACTGAGATGCAGATTTTATACGGTGGGCATCCTTACCTTTAAAAACAGAAATATGAGACTTAAATGCCAATGAAAGACACAGCATGCAGCAACAAAAATCCTAGATGCATTGCCAATCTGAAGAATTGTCATCATTAATACAGAGGACAAACAGAGGACCCTCTCCTCTCAGTGGCTCTCTTTTACAGCAGTTTACCTAATCTTTTCAGGTCACTTTCCACTGCAGTGAGCTTGTCATTGTAAGTCTGACGAGATGTCTCCATGCCACCTGTGACGTTGTCCATTTTCTCAACAACTAAGATTTGGGAGAAGAATGCATTAGTTGACTTATCTGCTCATGTTTATTTTTTCAGTTCCAAGATGAGATAATTTCATTATAGAAGAAAGCAGATTTGAATTAAGAAGCTGAGATCAAACATGGAGGAGGTGGTGTGGTGGTTTAAATGTAATTGGTCCCCATAAACTCATAGGGAGTGGCACTACTAGAATATGTGGCTTTGTTGGGGTGGGTGTGGCCTTGCTGGGGAAGCATGTCATTGTGGGGGTGGGCTTTGAGGTGTTATCTATGCTCCAACCACACCCAGTATTTCAGTTCACTTCCTGTTGTCAGCACCATACTACCATGCTGAGTACTAACTAAATCTCTGAACCTGTAAGCTACCCCAATTAAATATTTTCCTTTATAAGAGTTAGTCATGGTGTCTCTTCACAGCAATAGAAACCCTAACTAAGACAGGCTGTTCTTTACAAAAATAACTAGTCAAAAATGCAGTGATATAACTTATGGGTGGAAAGACCATCTATCTGTAACTGTTCTTTTGAAGCTTTAGAGTGTGTTTAGACTAGTTTCTAAATTTTTGATGTGCTAGAGTCCTCTGTGATACACTGAATCCCCTATTATAATGCCTGTTAATTTCTACTTGTGTAGACATACAGCACTCTAATTATTTAAATAATTCTATAACTTCTAATCCTCTCCAATGTTCCTTGCTTATGGGAACTCCACTGGCAAACAACTGGCTTAGCTGGGTGTGATGGCACATTTGAATATCCTCCAGTTTTTTTTTTTTTTTTTTTTTTTTTTTAAAACTTAGTCTTGCTAGTTCTTTGGGAAACCTCTGCTCTGAAGCATTTTATGGAATTTTCTACGATAGTAGCCCATTCCTTAATTCAGGACTCATATACTGTTTGATTACTGACACTTGACAGGTCCTCATTGTGACAGAATTATGTCTGATAAACCCACTATAAATTGAAGATAAACAAAACACCCTAGTTGAGTGACCCAACATGGCAGAGTGTCAATCATTTAGCCTCATGTTCATGGGTGGCAGAGCTGTGGCCACATCATAATACAGATCACTAGCCAGGAAAAAAAAAACAACTTTCAAAGCAGTTTCTAATGAGTGTGTATTGCCTCATACAATTATAAAGGTGACAAACTATGGTAAGTTGAGGACCTTCTGCAGCTCTATCTCTAGCTCTTAGCTCAGCATGTAGTACTTAAAAAACAGTTATTGTGCCATATATTTAAACAAGTGAGAATTTGCTAAGGTCTTGACAATCTAGCTGATCTAAATTGTAGAGGCCAACACACAAATCAGCTAACCAGGGAGGCTTCAGCATTGATTCAGGATGACATTTTGTTGAATTATTATTTCTAAAATTGCCACACAGGAGCTGGAGAGATGGCTTAGAAGTTAGGACTGAGTATGACCAGAATTCAGATTCCAGGACTCATGTAGAGTGGCTTACAACTGGCTGTAACTCCAGCTCCAGGGGCTGGCACCCTCTTCTGGTCTCCATGGGAATTGTACAAATGTGCACATACCCACCCATCCCACATATATACACAAACAAAAAAAAAAAAAAAAAAAAAAAAAAAAAAAAAACAGGAAAAAAAATGTGGACATAGAGGTCCAGTTCTAACTTGGGACCATGGCGTTGTGTGATAGACACACATGCTCCTGAATCTCTGGAAATTTTGTAGAACAAAATACATTTCATCAAAGCTAAATTTAAAAAATGTTTACAAGCTTAGACTCAGTTTTGACTCTCAGATGAAAACATATGCCCCATTCTGTCCTCAAACCACACACAGGATCTCCCTCTTTCCTGGAAGCCAAAGAAATCTGAAATAAGCTGACAGCCGTCATTTTCCACCCTCCCTAATTTTTCTTTCATTTTAGTTTATAAAAACACAGAACTTCTGGGGACAGATAATTCAAGGGTCCATAGGACAAAGGGAATAATACTTTCACTTAAAAGAAGAAGAAGAAGAACAAAGCAGCTGTTGGTTTTGCTTTCTGCAAAGGAAATGCAGAATATTTCAGAAAGGAAATGATGTGTCCTGCCCACAAATATTAATGAACCAGTCCCATGTGTGTGTGTGTGTGTGTGTGTGTGTGTGTGTGTGTGTGTGTTTAAAAATAGCACCCTGGTATAAAGCCATAAACTGTAGGGCTGCAACACTGGCAGCATGTGTGCATAAAAATCCCAGGCTGACACGAATCCAGAATTAACACTGCACTACACACAGCATCTCCTCAGTTTCCCTCCTAATTTACAGCACAAAGTTTCAACCAGAAGCATAATGGCTGTGCTTCCTCCTGTCTCATCCTGGACATTTCAAGTCTACACAGATCATTCTACAATGAAAACAAAGAGACAACACAAAAGGGTTATCAGCATTCTGACTGTCCATAGGGTCCCTCAACTGGGAGCTATCTTCTGGTGTGGAATTTTAATTTTCATTAGTGGGGTTCCAGTTAACATGCCTGAAGACCCACCACTCTGCAAGTGCTCACAGTGCATTCCCCTAGGAACAGTTGCCTGGGGATACTTTGCACCTTGGTACATCCCTTGGCCTGGACACCAACCTCCTTACCTGTTTTGTTTCTACTCGTTTCTTAAGGTCTAACAAAAGGCATTAAGCTTTGCCTCTCACTTGAGCCTAGAATACAACAACTGAATCTTTGAATGACAATAACAATAGCCTCTTTGTTTTTATGATATGAAGAGTAAGAAAAATTACTAGTTTGTGCTATGTATACCGTACCACCATTGCAGTTAGTTCCTACTGCTCCTATTTTACAGATGAGGAAACTGAGTTTTAGAGATATTCAAGAACATCTCAGAACCAGACAGCTCCCAAGAGATTAAATGAGACTTCAGGCTTGGAGATGGAACTCTAAAATCTACACGTCTTCTTCAACTCCACATAGATTTTTCTTTAATATTTCTCTCCTCAGTCTGACTTCCTCTAATTAAGGAAAGGCCCTAAAGGGGGAAGCAATCATAGCTTCTTTCTGTTTTTTAAAGTTATCAATAGATGTTTTTATACATCTATCATGGTGCTACATATTAAAGATAAAGAGGCAGGCCATGGTGCCTCCTGGAGGGCAGGGAATAAGAACAGAGCACAGAGCTCCCATCTGTGGCTGGAAAATGCAGGTAGAGAAAGGCTTTCTTTCAACAGTTCCTAGGAATTTTAGTATCAGCAGTTACACAAGCCTTGGAACGCATCAAAGACATTTCTTCCATTAACACTACCTCAGGATTCATTACTGAGAAACACAAGGTCAGGGGCCAGCACCCGACATTCTAAGGGGCTCTGCTGTGTGGTTTGAGGTGTTTGCATCCCCTGTTGTCCTTGCTATGCTGGCAAAGTTTAGCACCCACTTGTCAGACAAACCAAGGTCAAGATCCCTGAGGTACGGGAAACTTGCTGCTTTGGATTTTAAGAGCCTCCTAGGCAGGGCAGTGGAGTAGTATTTTCATGCTCAGGGAATGTTCTGAAGAGTTAAAGAGATGATTTAATCTCAGCACTTGGTAGGCAGAAGCATGGGGACCTCTGTGAGTTTGAGGCCAGTGAGGTCTACAGAGCATGTTTTAAGACAGCCAGAGCTGTTACACAGAGAAACCCTGTCTTGACAAACCATAGGTGGGGGAGGAGGTTGCCTTTCATGTAGACTAATAATAAAGAGTTTAGGGTAGAAGATGTATCAAGTTGCAACTGTTCAAAAATATGTTTCCGCAACGTGACCAAAGTGCCTCAAAGCCCCAGCCACCTCACAGGCCACATCTGAATGACTAAGTGATTCTCCAGCTTGCTCAGCAAATTCTCTAGATGAAACCTCAATAGATTGCAACACGTAGCTATAGAAGTAACATAAAAAGAACAATCTTGAGGAAAACAGTGCAGACACAGCCTTTGCCAACCCTGAGAAGGGAGTTTCATTTCCTTTCATGTCTTCAGAGCACCTCTGGACCTGCTTTTACTTCATATTTTTTCTTTTATTTAGTAGAAAAGGTGTTTTTTAGCCATCAAAGGGGGATCTGTGATGGGGGGCTGGGGCTTTATCTTTTTGGCTCCTACAACCTTGGGGTCACTCAGAATCTTATCAGCAAGAAAGAGGAATCATATTATGTGAAGAGAAAGTATATCTGGAAAATGTCAACTTTGAGTCCATTAGGGATGGCTTTTTGTCAGCAGAAGCCAGAGAAATGGAGGCACTGAAGGAGGAAAAAGTGGCAAGATGTCACCTTACTCCCCAGATTTCTGCTCCCTTCACCCTGGCAAGATTACAGCCACAGAGCAGGCCAAGCTGGTCTCCAGATTGTCAGGTTTCTGGGTAGTGCTTTGAGGAGCGACAGCCCTACACAGATTGACCCAGAGGTCCCTTGGCATCTGTTCTTTATCTTGACAGAAACTACATTTATCCATCATGTCTCCATCTACCCACCCACTCATGTAGCTAACTTGCCTGGGTATCGTACTGAATAAATAAACCATGAGTTGCAGGTACTAGTCGGGAGATTTCATAAAGACAGTTTTAGAAGAATCCTGTAGTTTAGGTGTTAAGCCAAATAAACCAGAATCACTAGCCATAATGCCATTGTTTAACAGAGCCTAAAGTGAAGAAAGCTCACCGTGGGAATGAATAGGAGGCTCCCTTCAGGGGCTTCTGGTGAGACATGTGTCAGAGATACAAGAGGTGAGGAGAAGTCATTTGGGTACAACAAAGTACAGGGACCAAGCACATGCATATACTAGAACTAGTCCACTGTGGTGGGGAGGTGGAGTGAGAAGATAGCTGGATTCTTGGGTTTTCTGTATAATTTTGAAGCCATAAATCTTAGCCTTTCTAGCAGTAAAATTTAATTCCCATGCCGTCACTCTGTACTAAGTCCTGACATTCCCTATTGAATGACTGTTTTGGCCATCATTCAGCCCAGTGGGAAAAATCATAGTCCAGGAAAGAAGGGGTGATCTGCTTCTCTGCCTAGCCATCATCATGATTCAATAGTCTTTCTTAACCACAGTCTCTGTTTGCTTCTTTGTGAGAAACTTTAGGGTTCTACAGATTAAATAAATTCATCATAAATGGGTAAAATGATCAGTCAATATTCTAAATTCTTATCACACCAACTCAATTATCAATGTATGATCATCTTATTTTCTGAACTATGAATAACAACAGTGAGCAATCAGGAGGAGTGAAGAGAGATGCAGTAGCTCAGTTCTGAACCAACATCTTTGCTTATCCCAACTAATAAGTTGAAGAGTGGCATGATGGTTATTGCTTTACAAAATCACGAAATCTCCAGAATCCAGAAGATTCACATCTGGATTATAGCACTAAAGAGGGTGGAGCTAACAAAACACACTGGCAGACACTTACTGGGCATTCATAATTGCCATTAAAACAGGTAGAATCATGAACTTGGACCATTTGTTTCCTAAGTCACTTCTAATTCAGATGCACTGTATTCATTCCACCCCCTCAGAAGCCACTAGGAGGGTAGGAGGACTTACAGTGGGAGGGAACTTTCCCTCAAACTTTCTCTTTCCCAAAGTGGCACCATGAGTTAAGGGATGGGATGGGGGGGGGCATGTGTGCGCAGTAACACCACTTGGTTAATTGGTCAGTTCTGAGGTCCAACAGGAGCTGAGGTGACTGCTGAGGCAATGGTTGGATGACGTGACCATTGTCTGTCTGCCTGAGTGTTACAACCAGAAACTATGTCTGTCTCATGTGACTGTGACAGGGCAGGCTTCCATGTCTGCTTTCTATACAAGGGTTTATGTAGTTTGTGTTTCTGAATCATGACACCTACCCCTGGTCACTGAGAGGGGGGATGGCATCAGTGGTGTGTGGGGGGCTAGTTTAGCAAGTTGGAGGATTCAGAGGAAAATCTCCTCTACCTCAATCAGATTTGGTAGGTGTAACATTTTATTAAGCAGATGGAGTTGGCACTGCTGCCTGTAAGTTTAATTTCTATAGGGTCGTATTTTTGTTTTGTCTTGTTTGCTGAAGTAAATGGGCATGGTCAGCGTCACAGGTGCGTAGTTGGATCTCTCACTACAATTCACTTTTAGTCTAAAGAAAAGATTTAGACTTGGTACAAAACCGTATACGAAGACAGCAAATATCAAGTATGCATGAGAAGGAAAAGTAAGAGCATATGTCCTGAAGACCTATTGTCAGGGAAGTGACAAGAGCAAATGGCAAGAACTACAGTGGATGGGACAGTTTTGATTCATGTAGTAATTATGATGGCCCTTTATGGGTTAGGAAGATATTTTTCCTTCTTTGTTGCCTTTTCTCACTTGTCCCCAGCCATTCCCTCTTCACACCCCTTCCCCCCATCTTAAATGTCTCTAAGAGGCTCTGTGGAAACCTGCAGTCATCACCCAGGAAAATGCTGCTGACAGAGAATAAGCAACACAAGACTCTCTAGGGACACGACTCACCCACCCAGGTATCGACCAACTGATGCCCTTTTACTTTCTCTCTAATTCACATTTACTTCAGTGCATAAGTGAGGTGTGGGATTTGGTCTGGGGCAGGGGACAGGCTTGCTCTCTTTTGGTTCCAGTCAGGTTACGGGAGTAGCACGGTATTGATTCTCAGAGCTGGAACTTATGGGTTTCTCATGTAAGTGACTTCTCCCCGAATAAAATTAACCTATACTATCCTAGTCCCATGTATCTTAATCTGTACATCCCTATCACTACAGTTCACAGCTAAGATCTCAGGACACAAAGATGGAGTTGATGAGGTTAGTGACTTTTACAACGGAGTATCATAAATATGATTCAGTTGTCCTTCCCAGGCTCTAGGTTGTTGGATTCAACTAACCTCTCAATGGAAATACTTGGGGGAAAATGTATTTGTATTGAACATGCACAAATTATTTCTGGTATTATTCTCTAAATAATGAAGTACAGCAACAATCTGTACAGCATTTATATTGACTATTGTAAGTCCATCTAGAAATGACAAAATATATGGGAGGCTGTTTACATATTATAAACGCAAGCCCTGCACTAAGGGATGATAGCATCCAAAGATTTTGAGATCCTTGGAGGGGCCAAGGAACTAAAATTAATTCTCTATGGATACTAGGGTCAACTGTACATCATACTTCCAAAGATGATTTTTCGGCATTTAAATTTCAAATCACTCTGCTATGTGGAAAGAAAATAAAAAGAGCTTACCTTTATACCCCAAAATGGCTACTGTGATGGTTAGCAAGGCACACAAAATGTATAATAATATGATTGAAAACTTCAGTGCCCAGTTATTTTTACATTTGGTACACTGGGTTCCTTCCTGAATACCTGTAAGAAAAATAAAAATTTAATACTAGCAAACAAAAACATCATTTCAAACATTATCTTCACTAAAGCACATATTAGACACAGCATGTATGCAGAGGGTCTGGTGCAGATGCAAGCAGGCTCTACGATTGCTGCTTCAGTCTCTGTGAGCCTCTACGAGCCCTGCTTAGTTGATTCTGTGGACTGTGTTCTCCTGGTGTCCTTGACCCCTCTGGCTCCTACAATCCTTCCTTCTCCTCTTCTACAGGGTGCCCCAAGATCCACCTTATGTTTGGGTGTTGGTCTCTGCATTTGCTCTTATCATTTTCAGGGAGAAGCCTGCCTCATGATAGATAATCAACCAATTTTAAAATTACATTTTATTTACTTATTTGTATGTATATGGGGGCACATGTGCCACTTTGTGTCTGTGGAGGTCAGTGGTCATCAACCTGTAGGAGTTGTTTCTCTCCTCCTGCCATATGGGGACTGGGGATTACACTTAGGTCATCAGGCTTGGCAGTAGGTGCCTTGACCTGCTGAGCCATTTAGTTGGCCTTATAGCTATAATCTTAATAAACACCTCTATTATATAAAAAACAGCAAACACCAGCCTTATGCCTCGATGTTTCTTTTTGGTGCTGTGGTGTGACTGATGTCCACTTGTGAGAGTCAAATCTTAAATTGTTCTCTTTATTTTTTGAAGGTTCAATTTGAATTTTGGCTGTTAAATTGATACTAACAATCTAAAATCAGCCCTAAAGGGAGTATTTATATCCTAGAAATAAATAAGCCTTCTACAAACAAGTCCCTTTACCACCCACTAAAAAAACTCCTGAATATTCATACACCCTTGATAGTCATGTACTAGAGTCTATAGACACAAACATGGTGTTATCATCAAATGTTCAGTATAAAAATATTATATATCACAGTTATACAAAAAAGGGAGTATTTAAGTCACCACAGTATTCTGAAAAAACACTGCAAAACAATTAGTAAAATTTTTATGAAAATAAATTTCATAAATAATTTTTGAAGAAGAGGTAAATTTTTATTGCTTACAGTTCAACTCTTTGAGAAACAGTCTAGTTTCTTGAAAAACCAACATCCATGCTGCAAGAGACTGTAGAGACTAACCCACAGAGACGGACCTTTGCATCTGACTGAGCGGAAATGCAGAAGGACGAAGACTGTGGGTGTTTCGATGTGAAACTCACTTAGTGATGGTATCTAAGATGACAGTGCTCACTAGCCTGCCCTGCTCCCCTGGGTGTTGTACTAATCTCCCCCCATGCCCCCAGGAATGACAGTACATAAAGTACTGATCTACAACTGTACTCATAACTTTTGATGGACAAGTCATGAGGGTTAAGGCGTTGCTGAAACTTCTTTCCTTTGTTTCTTGTTATATGCACAGTGCCTTTCTCCAGGGAAGAGAGTTCTTCAGCTGTGTTTAATGTAAAATGAGGATGAACACAGCATGTTAACTGAACACAGCACGGCTGAAGCTTAGGTCTCAGAGTTCAGTCAGCGCCTCTAGCGTTCTGTGTCATAGGCACAAGGGAAGGGGAATCCACTGTATCTTTCCATGGCGTGGGGGGCACCAGAATCGATTAAACGGCCCATGACTTGGGAGTCTGAGAAAAGCTTGAGGGTATCAATGTCTAACATCTCAGGAGATCAGTTTCTCAAACTTGAAAGAACTTCCCATATCACATTTTTCAAAATGCTGATTCCAACCTAGTCAGTCTGAAGTAGGAGCCACATTTACCAAGGTCTAGGTGATACTTCACCTGAGGACCACAATTCCAAGGGATATGCGTTTCATTCAGCAGCTGGTCATGACTGAAAGCTGTAAAATTAAACTCGTTCATCAAACACACCTAGAATAAATCAGGTTTGTTTGTTTTTTTCTTTTTTTGGTCATTAAATTTTACCATTGGGTGGAAGATGGCATTGCCTAGAGATTGGGTCTCTCAGTAAACCATATAGCCAGGCTGGCTGGCTAGTAAGTTCTTAGGCTCTGCCTGTCTCTGCCCCAACATGCTGGGTTTTCAGGTGCATACAACCATGCCTAGTTTTTAAACTTGGGTCCTCACTGAGCACTCTCCCCAGTCTCTGCCTTACTTCTTTGTTTTTGTTTATTGTTTGTTTTGCTCTGTTTTTCTTTTTCTTTCTTTCTTTCTTTTTTTTTTTTTTTTTTTTTGGTTTTTTCGAGACAGGGTTTCCCTGTGGCTTTGGAGGCTGTCCTGGAACTAGCTCTTGTAGACCAGGCTGGTCTCGAACTCACAGAGATCCGCCTGCCTCTGCCTCCCGAGTGCTGGGATTAAAGGCGTGTGCCACCACCGCCCAGTTTTGCTCTGTTTTTCAAGAAATGGTTTCTCTGTATAACCCTGGTTGTGCTGGAACTCACTCTGTAGACTTGGCTGCCCTTGAACACACAGAGATCAGCCTGCCTCTGCCTTCCCAGTGCTGGGATTAAAGACATTCGCTGTCGCCACCCCCACCCGACTCTGTCTTACTTCTTTAATGGACGCTTCTGAGTCTTAGTGCTGCTCAGGTTCACTACTGCCTAAGGACTAAATCATCTGCAAACACATCTCCACTTTCACCCAACCTAAACACTACTATCCAAACGCAGGTGGTGAAATGAAAAACTCCGTGGTGTGTGTCTTCTACTGATTCTTCAGTTTACAAGTCTCCGCTGATCTTCCTACAGTGTATCTTCACCACCATCTTTATTTATTACCTAGCTTCCCGATGGTCACTGGCTTCCAACACAGTACCAAGTTCTGAGCTGAGTCCTTTATAGGTAGCATTTGGAATCCACAGAACAAGATGACAGTTTAGTTACCATCTTACACATACCACAGCCAGGACTCTGACTGGAGTCAGCCTCTACAAGCCACCACTCTGCACTACAGCATGATCTCTGCTCTGCTCACCCTTTCCATTCCCACTGCCACTGCCTTACTGTGGGATCTTTACCCTCAATGGAAGCTTTCTCTTCCATTCCCACTGGAGTCCACTCTCACACTTGAAAATATTGCTGTCCTCATGACATTTGCCAAGAAGGAAAAGACAAAAACTTCCAGTGCCCCACCCTTAACTAAAAGATGAACAAATGAATACAAACATATACAAATTCCAGGTCAATGTCTCTATAATCTGGTGATTTAAGATAAAATTGAGCTATCTAGATGGCTCAGTGGGTAAAGGCACCTGCTGATGGACCTGACTTTGATCCCACATGGTAGAAGAGACCCAACTGTGACTCCTACAGTTGTCCTCTGACCTTTACCTGCACACATGCACATGAACAACACGCAGGCAGGCAGGCAGGCAGGCAGGCAGGCGCTCGCACCCCCCCCCACACACAAATGAATCCAAATCATTTAAAATAAAACAAAGCCTCTTACATTCTGAAAACATGGAAGTGCTATTAAAGCCAAGAGAGAAAGAATTATAAGTAGACCTTCAGACAAGTCACATTCCATGTTGAGGAAGAACATATTGGTTTGGAACAACTGTAACACAGGGGAATGGCAGACACAGATGAACCTTCTGTAGAAAAACTGGATGCTACTGAGGGGTGTCATCCCTTTGGATTCGAGGGCTTGTGGTGTGTAACAGTTTTCACACTTTTCCAGGATGACTTCTCAGCCTCTAGCAAAAAACCTTGAGAGATTTGGCTGGAGAGAGTATGATAAACAGTGGAATCTGGGAGATCAAGGGTAGTGCAGAGGTCACTGTGTTATTGACAGGACAAGGAAAGCCAGCCAGGTGAGCAAAATCAGAAGACACATGTCATTATTCTATCCCATCCTTCTATGTATGCTAGCACTGGGTTGCTACTGAGCATTTTTGCATGGGGATGCACGAAGATCCTCTCCCAGACAGCTGCCACAGGACCACATTCCAAAGAGCAGGGGTACTTCCTGGCAGTGTGCATTTCGCACTGCTGACTATCAGCATTAATCAGTATCAGATGGCACTGCCTGGCCTCCCTTTCCACTTGACACACTTTCTCTGCTTGCTTTTTCTCTCTTGGGAGACTTATTTTTAATAAGAATTCTGTTTTATCTTTCCTTCTCTGCCCTTCCCTGGGACAACATCTGGCTAAACATATAGATGCCTACTACAAAGAGGCCCTGCTGACTCCTAGAGCTGGAGGACCCCTTCCTCCTTGAACCCAGATAGTCACAAAGAACCCAAACATTTGAGACAGATATCCCCTTTGTAGTGTTTGTTTTCTTAGCATTACTTTCCAGAGACTAGGAATTTTGTTCCCATGGGGGTTGGGGGAGGTAGAGGAAGAGCAAGGGGGACCAATCTGCAGAATGCTGCATGTCAGACATTTCAGTTCAGGAAATGGAGAAACACTGCCCATCACCAGTGAAAAGCCTGGTCCAAATAGCACATTTGTAATGCAGCTGGACACAGGCAGAGGAGGCCCTTGAAGGTCCATCGGCTTTCCCATTGGCTCACCTCCCACTCTAGACCATTCTTGGCTCATGGTTTGAATGATTTTTCAGTGTTCAAGTCTTTATTTAAAACCCTTTGGGGCCCCACGAAGCCAGAATCAGTGTGGTGAACTTGAATAGCCTACTGAAGTTAAGAACAGGCTGACAATTTGGTCTCCAGTGTCCACACTCAAAAGTTCTCTCTGTTGCCCTATTTCCAATAACATGTTTCAAGTAAGAATGGGATGGGATGGGGCCCCGAGAAGGGGGTGGTTAGCTGGTTGCAGGCGTAACTGACATGCCCCAAGAATGCCAGTACAAAGGGTCAGAGGAATTCATCAGTAAAGAGAATTCCTTTTGGTTGTGGTTCTCCATAAAGAGCCCTCCCAAGTCTTGTGGTCCAGGCTTCAATCCAGTCTGTTTTTCCAATCTTTTTTAGAAGCTTGTTCCTGCATGTGTACGGGGGTTAGAGGGCATATTCCCTTCACTAATGTGTTTGTCTGTCATGTGTATCACCAAAGATGGGCTTATTCATTAAGAGGGATGCTTACTGATTGTCTTCCTCAGTAGGTGGAGGTTGGCACCATAAGTATAGTGGAGCACTCTGGGTCATCTTAGTCACCTGAAGTATCTGTTGCTGGGTAGTGTTAACACGACTATGTCACTAGAAAAGGGCATTACAAAGCTGATAGATTGCAAAATCTCAAAGACCACAGTTTTGATCTGAGATTAGAAGTGACCCTTTCATGTGGTTTTTCCAAGTCACTAATTTAATGCCTAGTTGCATATATTCCCATAAGCCTAGGAGAATAACTTGGCTCTGTAAAACTGATGAGTCAAATAAATACCTATACATAGTTATAATTGTCCTCCACAGCAACAAAACAGAGTTAACATTCTGGTTAGCTGCTCAAATGTTATGAAATCACAAAAGGTTACATACCCAAACCCTTTCATCCCCTAAACAATTATCTTGCTCTCATTTCACAGGCCATTTAGTATGTGGTACAATATGGATTTTGTTAGTATAATTCTTTTTATTACTAAGTGATTTACTTTTCTAAATATAAACCCTAGTGCTGGACATCTTAGCATGCCACGCTTCCTAAGTGACATGAGGAATCACAAAAATGGGGCAAGAAGTGGAAGTAAAGTCACTTTCTGCACAAACGACCTCTCATTAATTCTATTCATGAAATGTATCCAGATCAGGAAAAAAATAGAAGATAGTTTTATGAATAAACCCTTTCACATTCATTGGGAATTTACTATAATAGTCTATGCTATTACCAATAGTATAGTTTCCTTCTATTTTTTCATATATATAAAAAAGAAGGGCAGTGGTTCTGGCTTGGCTTTAATTTTTTCTAAGAGTAAGTATTATTTGTTTAAGAATTTCTATAGGTAGAAACCAGATGTAATGATCCCACTCAGAATATAGAGCGTCTTCCAGAATGAAAAGTGTCCCAAAACAACACCATTCTTTTCCCTCTGTGGTTTTTATATAGTAAGAATCCTTGAGCTAGCAAGATGGCTCAGCAGTTAAGAACACTAGCTGGTCTTCCAGAGGTCCTGATTTCAATTCCCAGAGACCACATGAAGGCTCACAACCATCAGGCCCTCTTCTAGCCTGCAGGCATACATGCAGAAAGAACACTGTATACATAATAAAATAAAATAAATAAATCAAAAAAAGATTTCCTTTATCAGATGAGCTGTCCACAAATGTTTTCAATTCTGAGCAGAAGACTCTGTTGGCTGCAGGAGTCAAACATCATATCTCTGCCACACACTCTTCTTCTCTCTTGGCTGCATTCCTGGTTGTTTCATTCTACGGCAGAGTGAATGGATGATGGATTCCAGCAGTCCAGACAGTTTCATTATCTGGCACTACTATGTAGTGTTCTTTTGTGATTAAGCCCTAAATCTCTGCATGAAAAGAACTCATGGTGATTTGGCTCCAGTTTGGGCCTTGAGAGTTTGCCACACAATTAAGACAGACATACACCATGCACGTACTTGGAGAGAGGCTGCCAGGCATTTTTTTCCTTGGTGCAGAGTTTGTGACTGGTGCAAACACAAACAGGAACTACTAAGAGTGATTGCTATTTCTGAGGACCTGAGGTGGGCCAAACTCTCTCTCCTTGCTGCATATAATCCCTCTAATAACCCTACAGAGCAGAAGGTCCACTCTCACTTTACATACTTTAGAAAAATAGTGGACAAACAAGTTGAGCTTCCTAAACCATGTCACAGAGCCAGGATGTGAGCACAGCTCTGTCACACATTCTTCAAGCTAATTTATTTTGCTAGAAAAAGGAAAGTTGGGGAGGGGAGAGATGAAGGCTGCCTAACTAGCTAAGTTGCAGGGAGCTGGTGGGTTAAACATGTATGACAAGCATCCTGTCAGAATAAAGCATCACAGAGCACTGCTGCTGTGTTGAGAGAGAAGCTTTCTCAGATGTGAGCAGTAACATCTAGTCCCCATTAACTATGACAGGGCCCGGGCTTCTGCAGGCTGTAAATTTTTCTATGTAGGCCATACCTGAGGAGCAAGCAAGATGATTCCATCCTAAATAAAATGTTTGATCAGCTAAAATGGTTTATGGTCAAGAAGGCTGTTGACTCCCCATAGAGAATAAGCCCACTTCCAAGTGAGGTAGTGTTCTGGGAACAGGGTTGACTAGGGTGAGAAAGTAACTCTGTAATTTCAAGGCAACCTATGAGGCATCTAGGGGTCTCCAGAAATTTAGCCTAAAACCAGATCAAGTCAGTTGCCTCTAGCATGCTTTCTTTTAAAGATATACTACACTGAAATAGTAATCTCAAAGAGCAGCATCCACAGTTCTTTATCTATAGTCCCAAACAAATGCTGATGGCTCGAGCTTGCTAGAACCAAGTAAGCAGAGTTAGTGAAAAGTTAGGCAGAGGGCTTACCAACGGTGATTAAAAGACAAACTGTCTCTAGCCTCCTGAAAAGAGAAAAACCAAAAATCTAGCTGGAGTACACTGTCAAATGATTTTTGTTTTTTTTGCGGGGGGGAGGGGACTACAAAAGCCACCATGATCCCCTTGTTTAGAAATCCCAGTAACTTCTACTGTCAATGTATCCATTCCTTTAGTGTAAGAAGAGTTCATGATTATTGGGGCTGGTTTTAGGGTCCAAGTTTCCTGACTCCCCACAGAGCTTTTCAGACTCCAAATGACACCACATCTGTGCTTGTTCCTCACTAAGGTAATTATGATGAGATGAGAACAGAAGAGCTTCTATTTGAAAAATAAGAACAGGCCACATGCGGTATACCAGGCACCATGGATAAGAGTGGAAGAGCCTGGGGCCCTAGCCTTTGTCCTCCCCCAACAATGGACTGTTCATTTACTCTCTGGGCTTTGATATTTGCCCTTCTCTTCCTAAAGTATCCTTTCCATCTGCCAAATCATTTCCTTCTGAGTAGCTAACCTCCTCCTCAATGAGTCCCTTCCAACTCACCTTGACCCTGCCCAGCTGTGCCTGAGCCCTCCCTGTCGGCCACACTGTGCACATCCACACTCATTTGCGTGTCTCTCAAGTGATTTAAATGCCATCTTCAAGACACCTCCCTTGACAGGAATGGGGATTTAATTATTTTCTGTAGTACGGCTTTAGCATTTCTCTGAACAAATAAGTATTCTCTGGCACCTTACATGCCATGGGACTGAACAGGGTAGCAGGGAAAGAAAGATGGTTCCCTGTCAATCTCCTTCACGTTGACTGGAAACAGCTCTCAGGTTCAGGGGATTTCATAACCTCCTATCCCATCTTTGTGCCTGTCCTTCTGGGTGAGGAGTGACAGAGTGATGACAGGGCACAAACGAGCAGGATCAAGCTCAGTTGATGAGAGGCTGTCTGCTATTGATGATAGAAGCACTGTGGGGTGGGAAGACCATTGGTAGCATATATAGGCGCTCACTTCAAAGCCTGAGCCTGCCCCACACATGCGTGCTTTCTTTTCTGTCGTGTGTGTCTCTCTGTGTGTTATAAGTATAACGGGGTGTGCACAGGGAGGCCACAGGAAGACACTGAGTATCTTCCTCAATCCATCTCCCCTCTACTCCTTTAAGACAGGGTTTCACTGATCCTTGAGTTCAATCTCAGCTGGCCAGTGAGCTGCTGCAATCCACCTGTCTTCACCCCACAGTTCTGGGTTGCTGGTACAGGCAGCCATGCCTGTCTTTGCTAGTACAGCAAATGCTCTTACTTACTGAGCTGTTCCTCCAGGCCTACACTTGTTTCTTTGTAGACCAAGAAAATTACTATTTTGATGAAAAGGGAGGGGCTTCAATGTGAATGAAAATAACAATGAGCCTGACAGACATTTCTTATTCCTCTATGAATATGTCATTTTTTCTTTCTTTAAGAGAAAGGGCACTTAGAATTGAGAGAAGAGGAACCAAGGCAGTGACAGACTCTATGGCTGCTGTCCATTCTATCCTTCACTGGACATTTCTTGGTGCAGAACCTTAATGGGAAATGAGTCGGCGAACTTAAAATGGCCCAAGAGAGGGAAGGTTGGCTCACAAACAATGGGGAAATGTTGAGTGGGATCAAGATTCCCTAGACTCAGTGTAGGTTAAGTGAAATTTATTCAGGGAGAATGCACTTACACAAGAGGTAGGTGACCGCCACAGGTTCTAGCTCCAAGGATCCTTCCAGGCTGTTTCCTGTGACCCCACCAGACACAAGAGAGAGCAAGCCTGTCCCTGACCCCAGACCAAATTCCACATGCTCACATACACACCTGTGACCAGCGCCAGGTGCATAGTTAGATCTCTCACTCCAGGGAAAGTATAGCTTTGCGACCCAGAAGATGGCTGTGCAGTTCAGCCGCATACTTGATATTAGAGCTGAACAAAGGGCAGAAAGAAGAAAGAAGCTTTTCATGGGACAGATAACTGTTATTTTTCAAGACAAAAAGAATGAAACTGGGAATTAAACAGAAAGCCACTCAACAGAAACACTAGTTGGCACAATTATAACTGAATGTCAAGTAAACAGGAACATCTTGACTTACTAAATTTTCCACACCAAAAGTTCCTTCCTAGCACAGTTAAAATTTATAAATGTGTTGAAAGATGAAATAAATAAAAACACGTTCTTGTATACTCACAAATGACTTTCTTCAGACAGAAGCACAATTTAAATGTACGGTTTCCCATATTTCTCAGGGGTGTGGCAGGAACTACATGACACCGACTGGTGAGAAAGTACTATTTGTGTGTCTTCCCAGCTGTGTGTGGTCCTGAACATACCTTGAAATTGGCATCACTGAGCCTGTTTCTATCTTGGAAATGCACATACAACTCACATCAGAGCTTTTGCCTTCTGGAGAACTGGTTGTTAAACATTTGCCAGCATACTACTGAGATTGGTGCAACTGACCTGTAGTAAAGAGTCCCTCCAAAGGTGTTGGAAGGCAGTTCATTTGATAAGGTGTTTGCCACACATGCATGAAGACCTGAGCTCCATCCTCAGAACCAACAGAAAGAAGCAGATGTGTAGTGTGTGCTTGTGATCTCAGTGTTGGGGAGCCAAGGACAGGCAGATCCCTGGAGTGTGTGGATTATCTAGCCTAGCCTATTCCACAAACCCCAGGCCAATGAGAGACTCTGTCTCAAAAAAACAAGGTAAATTGCCCTGGAGAAATGATACCTGAGGCTGATTCTGGCCTCTACACGCACATGCGTGAGCGCGAGCGCGCACACACACACACACACACACACACACACACACACACACACACACACACACACAGACAGAGTCCCTCTAAAGAAGTACTTGTTCTGAGCGGTCATTGACAATAGGATCCCAGGGGTGGGCTTGGGTTGACAGATCATGGATAATCCTTCTAAAATGTGGCTTGACCAGAGTACCTCCTGTCTGGGGAAGTCCAGCCAGCCAACCCTACAGTTGGAAAAGTGACTCAAGCTTAAGTCCTATTGAGGTTGGGTCAGTGCTGTCCTTTTTACAAATACAAAGACAGCACATTTTAACCTAATGCCACAACATACTGTGCCCAGTCCTGAAGAGGAACTGAAAGAGAAGGGCTCAATGATTCCCAGCTTTTCCGTTCCTAGACAAGGGCTAAAATTAAACCTAGACTTTACAGCTTTTGCTACTATGCAATGTTCCTTCCTGTAGGAAGGCAGTTGTGTTAAAATGACAAAGCTGGTCAAGACAACCATCATGTAGAAATACAACCTATTGGTTGTTCTATAGCTGTCTATCATCTCCAACACCACTGGGGGGGGGGACACGCAATGCTTAGTAATGCAGTTGAAGGGAAAACCCCAATTATGACAGGGCTTGTAAAATTTAAGTGCTAAGTTACAATGGTTCACTAAACCTACTCTGTGATCACACATTTACTATATTTTAGCTGTAGGACTAATATACACAAGTTGAACTTTGTGGGTGTGAGCTTGGTGGAAGACCTCCTTCCACTCTTGCTTACTTCCCAGGAACACAGCACAGCTGGGCACAAATCATTTAAGAGAAGTGTTTATCCAGGAACTCCTGGGAAAGCCAGGCTCTAGGGGCCCTTTGTTTAGGGAGGACTCCTACTATATGGGTCCAGAACAGAATGAAAGGGGCTACAGAGTAAAGACTAAATGTTTCTTCTTTGGGAAAAGAGCAGTGCTGTGGTTATCTCCACAGGATTGGAGGAAATGGAGCTGTAACATGAGAAAGAGAAACAGGGTCACAGAAACATCCATTCACTTTTTGGTATTACACATGTGTGTATAGGTGCACATGTCTGTGTGTGGACATGCAGCAGTCAATGTTGTATGTCTCCCTGTCATTCTTCAGTTTTAATACTTTAAATTTTATTTAAGTGTATATGTATGCGCTTGCTTGTCTGTGCACCACATATATACAGTGCCCACAGAGACCAGAAGAGGGTGTTGGATAACCTGGAGACAGTTACAGGTGTGAGTCGACTAACATGGGTGCTGGAATTCAACTCAAGGTCTTTGGAAGACCAGCAAGTGCTCTTTTCTTCTCCTTTGTTTTTTTTGAGACAGGGTCTTTCTGTGTAGCCCTGGCTGTCCTGGAACTCACTCTGTAGAGCAGGCTGGCCTCAAACTCACAGAGTTTCATCTGCCTGACTCTGCCTCCCAAGTGCTGGGATTAAAGGTGTGCACCACCACTGCCTTGTTTCATTTTCTGAGACAGACTTTTCACTTGGCATTTACCAACTTGCCAGCAAGGCCCAGGATCTTCCTGTCCCCCTCACTACAGACCATTTAGTGCAGACACATGCCATGATGCATAATTTTACATGGGTTCTGGAGACTGGAACCTAGGTCCTCATGCTTGTGTAGCAAGCACTTTACCCATTGAGAATTCTCGCTAGCCTCCAACAGTAACTTTTATCCTAAGAAGCCAGGGATCTATGCTTTGCTCACTGGAAGCTAGAAATTATGCCTACTATTTTTGAGCCAGTTTTAGAGAGGAAAGAGGAAGGAAAGAAATGCGCTCCACAGTCATGTAAAAATCCTTAAACATGCAAGGCACTGTCAATCAAGGCAGTAAAGTGTAGAAATGAGTACTGACCTAGTATTCCATGGAGAATCCCGATACTAAGGTTGTCCTTGTTTTTGGTGTGTGTGTGCGCGCACGAGTGTGTGCATATATCTGCTGGGGACTGAACCTAATTGCCTTGTGTGTGCTGAGCAAGTGCTCTACCATTGAGCACAAGCCCCAACTCAACACTAAGGTTTTATATCTATTACACCTGGTTGGTGAACAGCATAGATTTCCTTTCCCACTGTCTTCTCAGGCAGATAATAGCCATTAGACGCCTTACACAGTGACCTTGTTTGTGTTTCTATTCAGAGGAGCTGAGTTTGGACACAACAGTATTCATTTATGGAAAAACCATGTCCCAACTCACCTACAGTCACTTTCCTCCCTTCATTTGCCTTCAAAAACAAGAACCCAGAATGGAGAAACCAAAGAGATGCCATTAACCAATTCATTCATTTACTTATTGGCAACATAGGGGATCAAACCCCCCTCCCCTGGGCTTCAGATATGCTAGGCAAACATTCAACCATTAAGCCACACCCCCAGCCCCGATGCCCTTAATTACTTTGCACTGCACTGCACAATAACTTTAGATGCATTTGTTTTTATTAAGTCACTCACTACCATCTGGAATTCACTTAGCCAAAGCTAGGAATGGATCATGTAAACCTTCTAAATTGGTGAAGTGGAGGTAACATGTTGGAGGCTGCTATTTGCTGATACTGGATAATACAATCCATCCAAAGCACAGCATTGGCTGATTCAAGGCCACACCTAGAGCTTTTTTTTCTTTTTTGCCATGGGGACATTTAGTGCTGTGACACTGCAGTGCTGTCCTGACCCGCGAATTGGAGAGGAACTGTCACAGCCTCTCTCCTGGGCGCAGCCACATAGGCATGCAGACTGTTGGGAGATACTCACAGTTTCCCTCATCTTAAGTTTCCATTTTGATGAAAAGTGAGAATTTTTGTGCAGTTAAATAAATAC